AATCTTCCCCATGATAATCATGATCACAACCAGCCTCCGACCGATATTGAGCGGANCGACGCGCTGGCTCCTTCCCGTTGCGCAATTTTCGGCCGTGGCCGTCTCCAGCATGTCATCTGCCATGCTATGCGTGCTCGCCGTATGTGATCGTGTGTGTTTCGACAGTCGGAGAGAGAGCAACTAGCGCTGTGTGGTTGCCAGCCAAGTAGGTGGAGCGTTGCCGAAGCCTTCCATGCGTTGAGACTCCAAAACAGATTTTCTGGACACGGACAAAAAAAGTCCTTGGGGACTTTCGCCGCGATACAGATTTTTCGGTAATTCAAAATCGCCGTTCACCGGCTTCCGGGCCTCTTGGCCAATCAGAGCCCAATTTTGATTTTCGATTTCCTGGGAACAGATTTTTCCGATTCCGATAAGACAGGCTCTAAAATCCTTGCCTTGTTTTAGGCCACTTGTTATTACGCTGTCTCTTTTTGGGCTGTCCCTTTTCTCAAAAAGGGACAACTGACCAAAAACAGCGCTGCGATCTTTTGAGCTTGTATGTTTTCCCGGGTCCAACAAGTCTCTCCGTCGTAATCAACCCACTGTAACAAGTGGTTATTGGTCAGTTGTCCCTTTTTGAGAAAAGGGACAGCCCAAAAAGAGACAGCGTAACAAGGCCACTTGTTACGCTGCCTCTTTTTGGGCTGTCCCTTTTCTCAAAAAGGGAAAAAGTTGCCCAAAAAGGGACAGGATGGGGTGATGTTTTCTCGCTGTCCCTTTTCGGGAGGTTCGAAAACGCAAAAAAAGACCACGTAATAACAAGTGGTTTTCGGTCAGTTGTCCCTTTTTGAGAAAAGGGACAGCCCAAAAAGAGACAGCGTAACAAGTGGCCTATAAAAGCTCCAGTTGTCTACCCTGCCTGGTAGTCTGCACTACTCCGTACCAGTGTGCAACCCTTTCTCAACCCTTTCTCCGAGAGCTAAGAGCGGTTCAGGCCCGACGCTTCGCTCAACTCGTCCTTTTTTTTTGTGCTCACAGAGAGCGCAACCCATCCTCCTCCACATAAGAGTCCGGCGACGTAGATTAGCAATGATGAGGGGTGTTACACGTAGATTAGTGATGATGTGGTGTCCCAGACCCAGGAAGCGCAGGACATAGACTATTGTCTTGGCAGACTATTTTCACAGCCCGTGGCAATCAGATCCGGTCATCACACAGTTGTAGGCGGGTGTGGGAAGCGTTCCCCGTTCTCCTTTTATTTTATTTTGATCGGTCTCCTCGACGCTCTTTCTCGTTTGGTGCGGTAGCTGGTCTTTCTTTCTATCATTTTGTTTCTCTTCCGAGTGGTTTTTGTACCCTATTTTTTTCTGTTTCTTCGTGGGGTCGTGTATGCCGGGTTTTGAGACCACGGGCTCCCAATCTTTTTTTTTTAGAGCTAATGTGAGAAACAACAACAACAAACAGAGGAGAGCAGAGAGAAAGGGGTCCTTGCTTGATGAGCACGCGACGAAAGTTCCTCGAATTTTCCCGCGAGGGAGTAAAATCTGTGTGTGACTGTCACGTGCTGACCAACGAAATCGTCTGAAACTGGCGACTGCGTGCTCTCTCTCTACGCCTCGCGGCCAGCTTGCTCACGGCGATGAATAGTATTGTTGCTTGGTGTGCATGTACTGCACCCGTGAGACAGAGGACTGGTTGACAAGAGGACAGTGGCGTACCCAGCCTTTGCTCGCAGTCACGCGCACTGATTCGATACAGGAGACAGAGACGGGGGATCCAGGACAGACAAACGACAAGTTGCTCGTCGCCAAGCGTCCAAGGGGTGCGTGTGGGGGATATTGGCGGCTCGCCTCAAAGGTGAGTGTTCCCTATCTTGCAACAGCATCGACAGCCTTTCTTTGCGATGACAAGGCATCGCACTTGGCTCATATGCTTGCACCAGGGAACCTGAGAAGGAATTCGCGCTCATGCCCCTGCGCGATTCAAGAGCGGGGGTATCACCACTCCCCAAAAACCAGCAAAGTAGCAGCGCGAGTTTTGGCAACATCAGGATGAACGCAACGAGCACAAGCCACTCCCCGGCCAGGCAAACGACGTGTAGTAGCTCGAGCACACAAACACGGCAGGGCTGCTTCTGTCGATGGAGGAATATCCGTATGTGGCTCATGGCCAAAGCCTGCGCGCTTAGGTCAATGTTTATGGTTTACAAATCTTTATGTTTCTTTCTTTGGACAAATGTTGGCTTTTTCGGCCTTGTGGGCAGTCTGCCTCCCGAAAGAATGCGAATCAGCTGTTCGACCTTTAAGACCAGTCACAGCTTTGCCTGAGATGCATACAGACCGCCTATTTCGCCAGGGTCCACGTTTGATTTTTTTCCACCAGAGCAAGATGNCTTGGCCTGAGATGCATACAGACCGCCTATTCGTTTCGCCAGGGTCCACGTTTGATTTTTTTCCACCAGAGCAAGATGTTGAAGATTAAGATTCGGCCGAAAGGCCACCTCGGAGCAAATCTTGGGCCAAGATCTGTCCAGGGTCCAGGTTTGATTTTTTCAAGATGCGCAATTTTCAAGCAAGATTTTTCCAACACCAGCTTGTGGACAGATCTTGACCCAATATTTGCTCCGAGGTGGCCTTTCGGCCGAATCTTAATCTTCAACATCTTGCTCTGCTGGAAAAAAATCAAACGTGGACCCTGGCGAAACGAATAGGCGGTCTGTATGCATCTCAGGCCAAGCTGTGACTGTTCTCAAAGGTCGAACAGCTGATTCGCATTCGTTCGGGAGGCAGACTGCCCACAAGGTCGAAAAAGCCAACATTTGTCCGAAGAAAGGAAGATAAAGAATTTGGAAACCATAAACATGGGCCTTATTAGCACAAAAAAAAAGTTAGACTGCGTAGACAAAGTGCCAATTCGCACCCTACGGTGGCGTACACGCACACAGTAGACCCACCTCTCCAAGATGAAGCATTATGGCTGTAGGTGTCTCCAATAGCTAGCGACAGACCCAAGTAGTGTGAAATTCCATACACCACAGCGCTAGAACTCAGCAGTGAAAGACCTCAAGTCGGCCCCAAAACAAATGGAAAAGCATGCGAGCCCTGAAAGACGCGGCGGAACCTCGAGCGAGTCGACGGCACATCCCTGGTGAATACGAGAACGCGCTGTTTTTCGACCCCGTTCTGATTTGAAAAAGAGACAAGGAAAACACTCTCGCAAAGTGATTTCTGATCCCTAGGGACAAAGGAACCCGTCCGTGATCACTTCTAGATGCCTTGAAAAAGAACTTCTTACACTTCACTGTAGAAGTTTCCTTCCAAGTTTGTTTGTGGGCATATCGCCCGCAGGGCGCACGCATTTTTTCGCACACCAGTGCGGCAGGGCAAGGTCCCGTGCTGTCCACGGAGAGCATAACCTACGTGTGCAAAGGATCGGTGGAACGAGACTTCCACCGCCGATTAAGTACACGTACGACGTTACCGTAGAAGAAAGGCCATCTTTTTTCCAACGCTTGTATTTGAATTGGATCGGGCAATATCCCACATCATGTACAAACAAGACTGCTCCTAAAGTCGGCTCAATGGCAAATACATTCAAATCGCTACATCAGTCGGCGGCTGACCTAAAACTGACAAAAAAATAAAAATAATACTGAATTGACTCCAGCACGTCACACACGCTGGTAAACATGGTCGAATTAGACAGCAGTCCCTGACTCCAAAAAATACAGTAGGTTCTTGACCACAAAGAGTACACAAAGCAACTGCACACACATTTGTGTATACGATAGGAGCCCAGAGCCGAACTATCACGAATAAAACAAAAGCAAGGATCGCAGCAATGAGGGCTAACGGTGGTGGTGCCACCTATCCATCCTGTTCGTGCGGTTCACACGCACCCCCACACAAGCACACCCTCCCCACACCCTATTCTCGAAGGTCTCCTCCTTCTCCAGCACAAGCTATTTAGCACGGAGGAACCTGTCGTCGTCACTGCCACCATTTTGTCGCAAAAGCAGCAAAGGCAAACAACGGAAAGCGCACGCGGTAAGCATGGGGGTTGGTTCATGTGGACTAAGGTCACCTGGGTGGGATTGACCTCGGCGTTCTGCGCGCCGTAGTACCTTCTCATACCATAAAATCGGACCACAATCACGCAAATCCGTGCCGCACCCTCAGTTTATGGTCGAGAAGTTGGTAAATAGGTACGGAACCTGACACACACCTCAAAGCGGCTCTTGAACCCTTAGAACCAGTCAGCCCCTGCCGCCCCCCAAGGAACTTCGACCCCCCCCGCATCTCCCGACCCTACATCCGACCCGCCCTCCGACGTGCCTGATCCCCGGTCGCTGACGGCATCGCTGTAGTCGGACGCATCGGATTCCCACTCTGAGATTTCATCCCTCCCTTCGTTTTCCTTCTCCTTCTCCTCCTCCTCCTCCTCCTCCCCCCCCTCCTCGTTCTTCGGTCCTTGTTGAATCACCCGGCGCGGCTGCCTGCTACCTAGCGGCTACCTGCTGACTAACGGCTCTTACCACCAAAAGAGAACGCAGGGCTCCGGCTACGATGGCAGATGTTGGAGGAATGGAAGGTTTAGCAGGAACAGTGGACGCAGCAGGAACGCTTGATGCAACAGCAGCGATCCGAGCCTCAGGTTTCGACGCGCAAATCAGTCCACAGGTGGCCCTGCACACCAATGTCAGCGAGCATTTCCTTCCTGCTTTTCGACAGCCGCACCTCGCGCAGAGACTATTCTTACCCGGGGCCGATTTGCAACCAAATTTCGCCGTTTGCGTCTTGTTGTCGGTGCCAACGTAAGAATACTCAGACAGCCACACCACGCAATTTTTCGCCATCATGTGCTCCGGGCTGGTCCGCCCCGCTTTCGGGTCGATCACACATCCCTTGCCGTTGAAGTCTCGTGCTAGTACCACCAAACAGCCATCTCGCCAGTACCCATGCATCTGATGGCCTCGCTCGCTCTGCTGGCGCAAGGACTCGAACGCAGGGCACGTTGATGTAGCCCTCTTTGAACCACGCCTGAGGATAAGCATCCGGATGACGTCGACGTAATGTGCGACATCGCCGTTGTCCATGCGGAGAATCCAGCCGGGCCCCTGGCCACCACGAGCAAAGGCAGTTTCATACTTAAAGTAGAATATGGTCGCCAACAACTTGATGCACTCGTCGATCTGACGCTTCATGCACCAACCTCGCGCACGTAGATAGACGTGCGAAACACACCCTCCGTCCGCACGCTCTTCAGAGCAAGAGCCCACATGGTCCCGAAAGGCAGACCAGATATGGCAGGCAGGAAGTCGCAACCAGCAAGCAGGTAGACAAGGACAATATGGCGTACCTTCTCGTCGTCGTCGGGAATCCAACCCTGGAAATCAGAGTCCGTCGCAGATTTTCTCTAGCCGTAGAAATGCGACTGGCGATGTGCGTGAAGCCCTTCTCATCTGCCGACCTATGACATGCAGCATACAGTTTCTCTCCTGCCAAATGCTCCCCCCGTGAGCACAGGTTACATGGCTCGCCGGGAGTAGTAGAGGCGACCCATGCCTTCGCGCGCGGCTTCCTGCTTCTCTTGCTTCCGTCACTATCGGCAGATGCTGGTCTCTTCCCATCTTGACCCGCCGCCGAGAACGAACTCCCGGGGTAGTGCTCGCGGTTTTTTCACGCTCAGCCTCGGCGATCTCACGTTTCTTGCGGGCCTTTGCCTCCGCCCTCGCCACCGCGTGCTGCTCCTAGTAGCCACCTCTGCAATCTTCTGCTCCACCTGCGGTTGTAGTAGAACCAAAGATCGTCTGGCCTTAGCCGCCGCCGGACGCCTCTTCCCTGATCTTCGCCCCGCAACTTTCAACCGCGCGCCAGAATCTAGCGCCCGGCGCCCGCCTAGGTGTCTATACCGGCGTTCTCGCGACGGTGCGTTCCTTCTTCATTGCCTCTCGCAGCAGCTGGGAGGATGGGTTCTCCGCTGCTGGCCAGCGGCCGGATGCCGCGGGGACACGGGCGGTGTATACCCCCCCCATCGCCAGGGGCAACAGCACAGGGGGGAACAGCAGTCCATCTTCTGTCCCGGTTAGCCATGCAGTTGCGTGATTGCACGACATTAAAACCACCCCTGAAAGCGAGGTTGCGTATCGACAAACAAAGGAAACGACAATTGGTTAGTGCTTAGTCACGAATTTGTTACAGCAGCGGTGCTCTTCTTCGTGGTGCCGCCTCGAACTAGCGGTGGCAGTTTCCGGAACAACTTGTCCAAATCTAGTGTTTTCCTTCGACATGTGGCCAGCACGAACGGGTACGCCGAATCACACATGTCACGAAACGTGGGTGGCAGTAGCTATTCACAACGGATCAAATACTGAACTTGGAAGATTGGACATCGATTTCATACCATGCTAGTGCGATAGATGCAACACACACTAAGCTTGGATGTTGGGCTGTTGGGGCCTGCTTTCGATGCGCATTTCACCCGGCCACGCACGCACGTGCCTGCGGATGATCACCAACACATGCTTAGGATGTACATGGGCATTTTGACGTTTTACCTCGTGATGCTTGAGTCGCTCTCATCCAAATGAAGTTTTTGCTTTTGCACTAGGTTGGCATGTTAGCTGAGTCTGTCTATCAGTCAATCTATGTTTAGTTGTGGCGTGCCAACCTTATGTTCATGCACTTGCGGCCGCACACACGCGCACCCGTGGTTGCTGGCCAAGACGAGCGGGATCCAACAAGCTTGAAATTTGACCTCGTCATTCCTCTGTGTCTCTGTACCAAATGAAGTAATTCTTCTTGTAATAGGTGGGTATGTGAACTTAGTAGATAAAACAATCGAGGTTTCGTTTTATTATGCCAACCTCATGGAAGTGCACCCACACACCCACCGCCCTACACACGTGTGATTACGGGTGCTGCTACCATCCATGGGATCCAACAACAAATTTGAATATTGACCTTGGCATCCTTGAGTGTCTCTGTACCACCTGAAGTAATTCCTTTTGTACTAGGTGGGTACGTGAGTATGGTAGATAAAATCAAGGTTTGGTTGCATCGTGCCAACCTCATGGAAGTGCACCCACGCACCCACCGTCGTCCACACCCTTGACTACCGATGCTGCCACCATCCACGGGATCCAACAACAAACTTGAGTTTTGACCTCGTCATGCTTAGGTGTCTCTGGACCAAATGTTGTTGTTGTTGTTGTTGTCTTCACATTACCAAATGAAGCCATTCGATTTGCAATAGATGAGTATGTAAGCTGTGTAGGTGGAACAACCCTAATGTGACTGTATTAAGCCGGAGTCATGAAGAGAGTGGGGTGTTACTGCTGTTGGGTACGTGATGTCGGTGGCTGTCTTCTGGTGGTACGCTCAGAGTATATCCCGGATATACACTGCTACGCTGCGTAACTGGTTCAAAGAGTCTCGCTGACTTCTAGTGTATGAGTATTCCAGCGTACCTTTGTCGGAGATTGGAAGCCTACGCTCCTGCTTCGCCCTCTGTCGACGTGTACGGTGAGCACTGCGCGGATCTCGCCGCTTGCTTGGCAGGGTTTCCAGGGGGGGGACACGTTGCCGTTGGAGGATCCGTTTTCCATATATGTATATATATATATATTTGCTACGCGCAGCACTGTTCCTACATTTTGTTCTGTCAAGTTTTGGGATGATAAAAATGTCAAGTTTCGGGATGATAAAAATGTCATGTTTCACCACGCAGTATCGCCCCGGAAGTCTAGTTGATATCCTCGAAAACCTTTTTCATTAACAGCAGTCAGTATAACAGTAGTGGCCAGAGTCAGGGGTTCGAATCCCGGCGTAAAAGGCGAGCTGTTCTTGTAAATGGAGTTTTCTCTCGCTTGCGTTAGCGGCCTGGGTGGAAAGTGCTACAGTAGTTCGTTGTGTACACGGGCACACGGAGAGAAATGAGTGCTTCTCTCTTCTCGAAGGCAAGGCACCGCAGGAGGGGTGGGTAGGGAACCTCAGGGAGAGAAACCTTCGGTGTGACCACGGGTAGGAGTAAACAACACAAGTGCTGTCAGCGCTGATTTGAAGCGAAGAGAAAACATTAATAAAACAAACATTACGCCTCCCAGATAGTAACTGCTGTGTAGGCAGACGAATGCGCGGCCGGTTGGTACTACTGTGTGGTAGTTGTAAGGAAATTGTGATGCCTGCGTCGTTAACGGGGAACGCATGTGAGGCGGACAAGGTATTTCGACAGACGTGTCTCAGATTCTACGCAATCCTTGTTAGCTGCATGCACAGTTCTCGCGTTAGAACTCCGAAGGCAAGCACTGCAGGAGGGATGGGTAGGGGCTTCAGGGGGAATAAACCCTTCCGCGTGACCTCGGACTGGAACTCCTACCCGGCAGAAATGCTGTCATGTGGTGATGAAAGCAGTAATAACAGGGGTGCTGAATAATGTATCGTCAAGGACGAGAATTGAACTCTCGACCACGTACGTATTTCCTCCTGAGCAGCAACAATGGTTTTGTCCCTTGACCGAGTAGTCCAAGCGTCGGTGAGAAACATCGTTGGTTTGCGTACAGACAAAGACGGTGATGTCGAAGAACATACCAATACTCAGTGGGCGAGGAGACTTGGACTTGCCGGAACTAACAACACCGAAGCTTCGGACGCCATTGCTGCTTTCTCATCGTGAAAATGATCAGCCGGAATCCTAAAGTCAAATATATTTGCAACATCAACCAGAAAAACTGACCTTGTGTTTTATCCCTGCGAAGAGCCACAGGACTCAGGAACAACAGCGCAATGCTCATCCTCTCGTGCAAACGGAGATCACTGGACCAAACACGATGGTCTACATACCATTAATCGCGTAAGACACCGACGACCGCGATGTAAACTCCGACATCCCGCTGAAACGCTGGCAAGTTTCGCGAGTGTAGACTATACCCTCAGCTTTCAGGATGTTTTGCCTTTTTTTCTTGCTTGCATCAGATGATATGATGACGATGATGGGAGATCGCAAGGCGATTGCGCCGCCCGCCTGCGTCATGCCGAGAACGGCGAACACTGCAAGTGCTTCGTGGGAAGGCAGTGGTGTCGTAGTCCGGGCGTCAGCAACCGTCAAGGCGGGGAACCTCTTGCTTTTGTTGCTGCTTGCTGGGTGGACAATTACTGGTGAGACAAACCACTTCTTGTTTACACAAAGGCTGTTTGTTGCTGCTGTGATCGGAAGACATGTTTCCAGGGATTCATTTCTTGTGTAAGACGCCAGCACCTCACATACGATGTTGCGGGATTTTCTTTAATCCTGAAGTCTAGACGCCTCGTCGTGGCAAAACCGATAGATGATCTGTCGATCACCGATGATGTTGATGTGTGTCGAGCGGGGTTCGGCCGCCCCGAGAATTCGCGCCCGTGAGAACTACCACAATGAAATTGTTAAATGACGACGACGACAACGACGAGGACGACAGCAACAACAGCGTTAACCCAGAGAAACGGAGGTAGCCAATACGCGGAACGTGCTCATGTTTGATGGGAAACGGTGCGAGGAACGGAGAAGAACCAGGGAAGTTTGCGCATGAGCCATGTGTGCGCTCTGAACGAAGCTGCTGGACAGAGCGACCTAGAGCCGTTGTAGTGTCTACTGAAGAGGTTGAGCGCGGGCATCCTGTGCCGCCGTCTTACCGCGCTGGTGACCTGACAGAACCTCTCCGACTTTTTCTTCTCTTCCCCCCGATACACCTCCCCCCCGGTGTTTGCCATCGGGGTTGGGTTTTCGTCGCTTGGCAACGACGTTGTAAAACAAGCCAACTCGCTTCGTAAACTCGGCAACCAGGTTACCGTTTGTTTTTTTTACCTCTGTTTTCATTTGGCGGTAACCATGATGGTGGTCGAGTAGATCATGTTGTGCGGGGTGGAAAAGCCTCACTCTGCGCAAGGGGGATGATCCACCACGTTGTGTTATAATGGTCAAGCACCCTCGAGGCAGTTACACAGTGCTTACAACTGCCTCTGGAAGTGAAAGCACCAGAAATTAAACTAAGTCATACGCAGC